CATCTAGAAAATATTTGGACCTAATGAAGGGAATGAAAATTAATTATTAACAGGCATTTAAAATTAAAAAAATAGTTACCTAGTGAAGGATGCCTCTTTCTTACTTGAAGTTATCCACTGAATATCATTTTCCCAATTTTTCTTCTACACTCATCAAAAAAGTCTAGGGAACAAGAAATATTCGTCTTTTAATTTTTAGACAGAGTAACTTTTTTTAAAAAGATACCATATGGGTATTTGTTGAACAAATCTTGTAAAATTTATCATATCGGCTTTTCCAGCAGGCTTTAACAAAATTTAAAAATCTTTTAAAAGTATATTTTGTTCAATTTATAAATGTATTCAGTTGCATCTTGTTCCCTAGACTATTTTGATGTGTGTATTTTTGGTCATACAAAACTTTCAGCTTTTTTTTTTGGAGGAGTTTTGGAGGTGGAGGCTGCATTATCATCAGTAGCAGTAAAATTATCCTCACTATCACGATTCGACAACTCAGACATTTTTACGACGCAAGACGACAGAAAATTTAAACATAAATGAATATAAAAAACCGTGATTTCGAATAGATACGAATTCCTGGTGATTCCTCGCGGTTGCTGAAAAATACCGACTATTTGCCTTGCGCGCCAAAACTGTGCCATCTCTCGTTGCAGTACTGATCTAATAAAATTTCAACCTTTATCGTTCAGTGTTGCCGTTGCGGCGTTGCCAGAGGTTACAGTGTTGTGTAGCAACGTCGTACCAGAGAATTATTGATTTTTATTTTCAATTATATTTATTTTCATATTTCTGTCAACAGAATTATTTACTAAATTGAATTTGCAATCTGGAACTCTTATATTTTACCAAATCCAGCCAAAACTTTTAAAAATCTTGAAATTCTTGGGACATATCGTGAGATTCGATACAAAATCGTGAGATCTGGCACCCTTGGATACAGTTGTGGAATGACTTAAAGCCATCAATATCTGCCGAAAATGGGATCATGAAACCAACAAGCTTTATGAACAATTGCTAAGCAAGCCCCATCAAATACAGGAATTTGTTGAAATAAGGAAATTTCTTCAAGCAAGATTCCAATCATTCCAAGCAATTTCAGGCACACAAAAGAAAACTCGCCCCAACTCAAACAATAATGACAAAGCCAGAAGTACTGATGCTTGCAAGTACTGCAATGAAGTCCACATGATTTACCAATGCCGAAAATTCAATGCCTTGTCATCAGAGCTTCGGCTAAAAGCTGCCAAAGAACAATTGGTTATTGCATCTTCAAATCCAGCTCATGTAATTATTGTTTCTCTAAACACACACATGCTTCGAATATAATATATCATTCTGACATCAGGGTTCGTTATAAAACATGTGTAAGAGATTATTCTTGACTTTGGATCAATTATTACAACGACATGAGTCTGTTTCAGTCGAGAGATTAGTTTAAAGTTTAGTGTTTATCTCGGAAAACATAAATTTTGCCTATATATTTTTCAATTTTGGATTACAGCAATAATAATAAAATTCGATGGCTTTTAAGTGCTTTTTACCCTCGAACAGATTAGACCTTTCGCAGAACTCCATGTGTTTGTAAATTTCATCATAGGGTCACATTTCAGCTATCTATAAAAATAAAACTTTTCCCACGAATAATGAATTTGAACCGAGAATATAAATTTGTTGTTGATTTTGTTACAGCCTTACAGTAACGCTATGCTATGTCAAAACTAGTTTACGCTCTATTTATGTCCGCAAAAACAGCAACTTTTAATAATTCCTCCATGAAAAACACCAAGGGAAAATTAATCAAGCTCAGAAATCTTCAGGATAGGATAACATAGACTATTATATATAGGGGGTAAATAGACTGGACTCTCCAATGTTGACATATCATGTCGTATTTTAGCGCCCTCTGACGACTGAGAGTGAACTATAAATACTAGTTCGGTCATTCTCCGAAAGATGATGTTTTGAAATGTCAAATGAACGAAACAGCTAAATGACAATGACATTTCCGATAACGGATTCGGTATTTGTTTCATTTTCACTTCCATAACCTCAGTTTTATAAGACCAGCAGAGCCATCAGCGGTCACGAGTGACAGTCTTGGTGTCCGAGAACTATAAAATACCATGCGAAATACCGTATTGTTAGCGGTACCGTATTAGCGTAGCGTCTGAGGCACGAGAACTTTCTATTAAGTCAAGCACGGTTAGTGAAGGAAACATTAGAACATTCGAACGATATCAAACAAGTTTTGAGTGGTGGTAACGTTCCAAATAAAAAACTTCTTTGTACCCATTGTAAATACACTGATCTTACTAAAGAGGATTGTCGAAAATTGGCATTGAAACAAGGTAATTATACAAATGGAAGAACATTAGGAAATAAGGACGAGTCAACCTCGAATCCTCGTTCGGTCCAAAACCATAATAGCGACGTGACATTCGTGCTACGGTTGCGGAAAGCATAGTTATATGCGGTTCACATGTCCTGTTGTAGTAAGAATAAAGTTGCAACGTCAGTAGCTGAATTTAGTTACCTTTCAATGGACGAGCATGTCCAAATGAAACTACGACCTCGATCTTTGCCTGGAATAAGTATACTTGGGCATCGTGGTACAGCCATCATTGACACCGCCGCAAAACAAAGTGTAGCCAGCAAACAACTTTATCAATTACTTGAAAATCATGGTCAACAAACAAGCAATTCTGGTGAAATTTGCTGTTGGTAGTGCGAAACTGATAAATGAAGTGCTTACACGGGTAAACGTCATTGTAGAACAACGTCTTATCCCGACTACTTTCATCGTATTGCCAAAAGCACCAACTACTTTATTATGTATAGATTTTTTGCAAGATGCAAAAATAAAATTAAACATTCCTGATGCTTTGTGGCAATTTAATGTTGACCCGGAAGTTGAGTATGTATTAGATTTTGAAAGTCAATCGATTGCATCTTCAGTAGGATTGTCTAGTTTTGAAGGTTTGCGAGAAGATTAAGGTACAATGCTTAATCAACCAGAGCGTGGTACTCTTAGTGCTTTAATCAAAGAAAATGGGGATATCTTCAAGTCGGGGGAAACCCTACTCCCTATGCAGTTCCATTATTTAGAGACACTTGATCATCCGCCTATAGCTGTTTCACCGTACCGTTTAACTCCTGCACGTAAACAAATAGTGAAACCTGAAATTGAAAAACTCTTGGAGGATCATATAATTGAAGAATGCGAGAACCCATGGGCAGCCCCGGTGGTTATGGTACCCAAAGGTTCAGATGGTAAAAACGTGCAAGTTTGTGTGAACTCTCGGCGACTAAACGTAATTATAGTTAGTGACAAGTACCCGCTACCGCGCATGGATGATCTTCTTCACTAAAAGAACTTTTTACCTGACATGTTTGGATTAGCGTTCTGCATATCACCAGATGTGATAAAACAGCCTCTACTACTGCTTTCGGAACTTATAGTTTTAACAGGATGCCGTTTGGACTGAAAAATGCACCTGGAACTTTTCAGCGTTTGATCGGTCAGCTTCGACGTGGACTCAGTAACGTATTAGTTCTAGCGTATCTAGACGATATCTGTGTACTCTCCAGGACTTTTGAGGAACATATCGAGGACTTGAAACTCGTGTTTTCACGTCTCCGCCAATTCAATTTACGAGCTAAACGTGAAAAGTGCAACTTTGCATGTAAGATTGTTAAATACCTTGGTCATTTGATCAATGTATCAGATTTAACGACTGTAGATGGGACTTCTGAAGTGACTCCAGTGGCACCAATACGAAAACAAGGAAGACTTCTGAAAAAGAAGGTGAATCCAGTTGACCAACCTGGTCCCTCCTAGAGGCGAGTTCGAGGCCAGGGGGGGCGAATGTAATATCACACCTGGGACTTCCTGGATGACTCTGTCTTTCAACCCGTAAACGCCTGTTATTAAAGGAATTTATGGGAAATTAGAGGAATGTATGAGAAATTGGAGGAATTTATTCGTTTAACACTGAGCGTAACAAAAATAAAAAAATACATTTCTTATCACGAACAATTTTGGGGATTCTTATGGAATTTGTAGCAGACATTTGCAGGGAATTTGCGAGCATTTTGGAGGAATTTGCAGGGAATTTGGAGGAATTTGTGGGGAATTTGGAGAAATTTGCGGGAAGTTTGGGAAACGGACTCTAAATTACCCTGACTGTCCTAATTTTTTCGCCTAAGAGTTGAAATGAACTGGAAGACATTATGAAGTATAAACTTCAAAGTTGTGAGAGTGAACCTAACTGTTTTAATTTCTCAGGCCTGAGGCCATCAGTGAGTTGAAATGAACTGCAATGACTGCAAAACTGCTTGTTTCTGAAGTTGTGAGGCTGAAAACTGAATTCAAATTGACTGAAAGACACTCTGAATGTCTTTATTTCTGATTCCTGAGGTCAACATTGAGTTGAAATGAATTGCAAAACTGAACGAAGCTTGATTTGGAAGTTAACTAAGCTGAAACCAAATAGACTATACGACAGTTTGCTTTAACTACCTTATGAGTTCAAAGTCCTGAGTCAAAATTTGGACAATGTCAAGTATTCAAGATTTCAAAGACACTAGAAATAAATATTGATCTCTAGAACTTATTCCATAAATAGTTTGTCTCTTGTCCATTTGCTATAGCTCAAAATCGCTATTCGAAATTTCTACAATATGTTACAGTATGACGAAGGAAAATAGCGAAATCTCATCAGGCCTATATTTTATCCCGTACGTTGCATTTCTAAAACTCAATATTTACCGTGTACCATAAAGCTAAAAGACTTCCAACTGTTGCAGAAGTAGGCATGCCAATTTAAAAGAAAATATAGCGTCCTCAAGGCTATTTGTCTTATCCTCTGTTTAAAAGGTCTCCCACATTCAATGTAATTTACTTGTGTAGTAGGGTACCTTTTTTTTTAATTAACAAAAAACGTTTAATTTATACACAGGAGGAACTTGATAAATTTCAGGTCTTTTATATTTAATTTCAGTGAAACAATGTCAGTTCAAACGTTTCATTATGTGCAACAGCAAAGCGAGAATTTCTACGATATGATAGGAGTCGATAAGAAAAAATTGAAGCTATGGTCGCGACGTTTGCATTTAGCTGTACTAGCTTATAGGGAGTTATTCATGACCTTATCCGCCATGGATAAATCACCTGATGGTAATTTTAGTTTATTTTGTTTCAACTATTGGAAATACGTAATTGATTTTTCAGGTAATGTCAGGGACTCGTCCAAAGTAATTAAGAGCAACATTTTTTACGTGCTGGAATATCGCGAATTCATTTTAACGTTGCTGGTCAACTATGACGAATTGAAAATGTCCGATTTGTATTTGAAGGACTTACTAGAGACGCAACATATTTTCTTGAAAATGTTGGAGACTTTTGTTGGTACTGATGGAGCAGTAGTGGTACAGAAAAAGGCTAAGAAACGCAGGAGGAAGCAGAAGAAAGGTAAGAAAATTTCCATTGTTCACGGTTATATGTCTGACTTCTGTGCAGCTATCAAAGCTCCTTGACAATAATTATTCGTGCAAATGTTTGGGAAAAAAGGAAATTTGTTTGTCCATTTAAAATTCGATATTGAAATAAAAAATAGCATACAATTTCAAACCATTCGGCACCACATCTACGATATGATAGTGGAACCAGTCGAGTTCGAGTAGTGCGAGTGGCGAGGTCACGCGTCCGTAGGCAAGACTATATAGTTTGAATCAAAAACTCTCAACAATAATCATTAGAAACTCAATATTATCTACCTGTTTTCGAAGTGACCAGTGGACTTACAAGAAAATAGAACATCGTATGTCGATAATGAGAGGCGACAAAACCAGCACACAGCACAGCCCGGTGCAATCCAAGGTAGGTGCTTTATCTAATATTATCTTTGTATGGTTCCGCCATCGAATTTCGACGCGTTTACAGTCCTGCGGCTCTCCAAAATAAATTTCCCCACGTTTAATTACAAACAACAATATCACTCGATTTTTGTTTTATTTTCAACAAATTATTATACATTTTTTTCTTTGCCGATAAAGACAAAAAGTAAAAAGCATTTTGGCGTAAATTTCCACACACCCTCAACATTCTTTGTCGTCAAGGACGGTAACGGATTATTTTTCTGTTATTTCTGATCTCAGACAGGCAAATTAAACTAAAAGCAAAAGCTCTCGGGTATTATTTCTCTCCTGGCAAACAACTTTCCCTTTTCCAACAAGATTTCGTTAATATTAAGCTCGAGCACGTAGGTACTTTTCAAGATTTCTAATTGACAAAATACGTTTGCTCTTGAAAGTTTTCTGGTAAGTAAAATGTTCGCTACAATATATCAAATATTCATGGTAAATAAACAGCGATAACATTGTGGGAACAAGTTCAATATTTACCATCCAAAAAAGCGAATTTTAAATGAACCAAGATATTGGTTAAAAACACGTTTTAAATAATTATTATTATCAACTACCCCTGGGCGTTTTGAGATGCAAGAGGCTCCAATATTAAAATAATCGCAGAAAAACCCTTTTCGCACCAATAATAATGAATTTTGTATTCACTAGGAAAAGTTTCCAGCTAATATACCTTTAACTTCAATATTTGAAAAGTAATAAATATTAAGAAACTTGTTTTCGTGCTTTTGGCTATTGGAAACTTAATTTCAAAGTTAGTTGATTAAGAAGTTTTCAGTAGCGAATATTTGGGATGGGACCACTTTGTTGAATATTTTCGACCTTAGGAATTCAAAAAAATCGACTACCATCATTAATTATTAAGTTTAAACATTCATCATATTGCAAAAATTAATGAAATGCCATATATAAGCTGTCAATTAACTGGAAAAACAATTTTAACACCCGGCTCAAAACTTTTGGGTCCCAAATTGTGTACGATTTAATAGAACGTCAAAGATGATGCCATTTGAAATATTGATTGGGCTTTTGGGTTGATCCGTCAGAAAGTGAGGGGAATATTAAAGCTCTTCAGTCTTAGATAAACAAAACTTTAGTCTTGTAATAGACTTTCTAACTCTATAACAATAGTTCTCAAGTAACACGAGTAATTAATGAAAAATGATCACAATGGAACTTATATTACACCTTCTTCTGCTTGCATTCGGATTTATATACACCAAAGTCTAGAGTTTGAAACTTTCTTGTTGGAAAAGTTTCGGTAAGGTAATACACGAATCTCTTTAGTTTAGTTGGAAAAAAGTTTTGTATATATATACTTTGTTTGTATAATTTATTTACTAAAATAAGCTCTGTAGTAAACAACATCAAACTTAATTTTTCATTTTCTTTGTTAAGCAGGCAAACTCCGTCGGCGGCGTTACACAAAACATTTTCAAAGTTACGCCCAGTGATGGATTATGAAGTGCCCGGTGGAGTTTAAAATTTTTTCCATTTTTGCATCTGCGAATCATTAAAAGCTTTTCGGTGTCGGCGCGGAACGAAAATATTTATTCATTTACTCGACAAATAATGGATTCGTTTTCTTTGGAGATTTTAAAAACTTTTCATTAAAATCTCAGGCCCGGGAGGATTAGTTTTTTTTTTGTTCGGTTTTTGAGAAAATAGAATTCAGTGCAAAATAATAGAGGAATCATTTCCTGTTATTGTTTGTCAATACAAATTAATAATGACATCTTCAACGAAATTTCACAGAAACCAATGTAGAGTCAGTTTGGATTGATGCTCTTAGGCTTCTAGAGCCTTGTGAATTGACTTTTGACTCTCATGAAATCCTATCTTCTATCAAAGACATAATAAAGTCTCGTAAATGTTAATTTCTTTCTTGATATTTTTATTATTATTTGTTTTTCTTTATTTTTTATTTTTTTTTTGTTCTGTTCAAAGTAGTAACTTCAGAATGATAACCGGTATAGACCTAATACGTACATTGCTTTGCATTTTTGTTTTCGTTATTTTCTTTTTTAATCATAAGTTATTGTGGGTGGTTTTGTGGAAAAGCAATATTGTTAAACACCGCTACTAACATAATTCTCCTGACATTGGGAGCAGTGTGAAGTCGCTTTGAATTGATGTTCATAGCTTCTGGAGCGCTGTGCATTGAATTTGAACTCTCATTGCTTGTAAAAAGCTTTGAAGTTATTTGTGATTGATTTTCCTGGCTTTTGGAGCGCTTTGGATTGGATTTGGACCCTACTGGCTCATATGGCACTGTAGAGTCACACTAGAATAATTCTCCTTACATCTGAAGCACTGTGAAGTCGCTTAGGATTAATTTTCTTTTGGAGTGGATTTGAAGACTCCTGGCTCATATGGCGCAAATATGACTCTATATTAGAATGTTTCTCCTGACATCTACGGCACTGTGGAGTGGCTTTGGAATAATTTTCTCAAGCTTCTGGAGCGCTGTGGATTGAATTGGGACTCTAATTGCTCGTAGGACGCTTTGAAGTCGCTTAGAATTGATTTTCCTGTCTTGTGGAGCGCTTTAGAGTGGATTTGGACTCTCCTGGATCATATGGCGCTGTAGAGTCACATTAGAATGATTCTTCCGATTTCTGGAGCACTGTGAAATGGCTTCAAATTGATTTTCTTAGTTTCTGGAGTGCAATTTGGACCCTCAAGGCTTGTAAGGTGCATTGAAGTCGCGTAGGATTAATTCTCTTTGATTCTGGAGCGCTGGAGTAAATTTAGACTCTCCTGGGTCTTTATTCTTGAAACAGGACAGCAGCGTTCCCTGGAGAACGAGTGTCCCATCTTAATTGCTCATATTATCATTTGCATATCATTGAAAAAGACGGAACACTCGTTCTCCTGGAAACGTTGCTCTCCTGGTTCAAGAATAAAAACCTTGGCTTTAAGGACGCTGTAGAGTCAGTTTCGAAGGTTTCGTATGAATCTTCTGTCTTTTGGATTCTTATTCTTGAAACAGGGGAGCAGCGTTCCCAAGAGAACGAGAGTAACAAAGGAGGAAAACTCGTTCTCTTAGGAACGCTGCTCCCCTGTTTCAAGAATAAGAACCCAGAAGACAGGAGAGTCATTCGAAACTGACTCTAGAGCGTCCTTAAAGCCAGAACGGTCCAAATTCACTCTACAGCGCTCCAGAATCAAAGACAATTAATACTACAAGCCTTTAGAGTCCAAATTGCGCTCCAGCAGCTAAGAAAGTCAATTTGAAGCCATTTCACAGTGCTCCAGAAGTCAGGAGAATCATTCTCATGTGACTCTACAGCGCCATATGATCCAGGAGAGTCCAAATCCACTCTAAAGCGCTCCACAAGCCAGGAAAATTTAATCCCAAGCGACTCCAAAGCGCCCTACAAGCCATGAGAATCCAAATTCAATCTATAGCGCTTCAGAAGCTAAGCAAATCAATCCAAAGGGACTCTAAAGCGCTCCAGAAGCCAGGAAAATTAATCCTAAGCGACTTAAAAGCGTTTTACAAGCAATAAGAATCCAAACTCTATCCACAGCCCTGTAAAAGCTAGAAAATTCGATTTCACAGCGTTATATAAGTCAGGAGAGTCCAAATTCACTCTATAGCGATCCAAAAGCCAGGAGAAATAATCGAAAGCGACTACACAGTAGCCTATATGCCAGGAGAGTCCAAATCCAAACTCAGTGCTCCAAAAGCCAGGAAAATCATTCCACTTTACAGCGCTTAAGAGGGAGAAATAATCCAAAGTTACTACAAAGCGCCCTACAAGCCATGAGAGTCAAAATTCATTGCACAACACTCCAGACGCCTAGAGCATCAATCCAAAGTGCCTATAAACTAGGACAGTTTCAATTTACTCCATAGTGCTTCAGAAGCCAGGAGAAATGATCGACAGCGACTTCACAGTTCCCTACAAGCAAAGAGAATGCAAATCTAAACTCAGATCTCCATAAGCCAGGAAAATTATTCCTACCTAGATCTAGACGTTAGGAGAACTATTTCAAAGAGACTCTACAGCGCCCTTTGAGCCTGATCTTCTTCAAATAAACAATCCTAGTGGAAATAATCAATCCAAGTCGATTTCAAAGCGTCCTAAAAGCCATGAGAATCCAAATTCACTCTACATCGCTTTAGAGGCTAGGAGAAATTATCTAAAGTGACTATAAAACGCCCTACAAGCCATGAGAGTCAAAATTCAATCCACAACGCTCCAGAAGCCTAGAGCATCAATCCAAAGTGACTACAGCGTTTCGGAGGACAAGAGAGTCATTCCAAAGTAACTCTACAGTGTCGTATAAGCCAGGAGAATTCAAATTCACTCTACAGCGCTCCAGAAGCCAGGAAAAATGATCGAGTGCGACTCCGCAGCGCTCTAGAAGCCAGGAGAGTCCAAATCCAAACTCAGTGCTCCCTAAGCCGAGCAAATCGATCGCGATATGCACAAAATTTGATTTTAATAAGAACTCACTCACCTATCTTGAAGCGTATCACTAAATTCTTGAATAAGAGGGCCCTTTGAACACTTCCTTTGGGTTGCTCAATCCACCCAG